TTTTTCTCCTGTCTACCTTGTCTCAACCCTGCGCAAATCCTCTTGGAACTTGGTATCAACCCCAGAGGAAGCAGTTGAGTGAGAAAAGTCTGACCTGGCTTATTTTAAACTGTATTAGGAAATTTATATTTGGTTTGTTCATTTGCTTTTATTTCTCTCCTTGTCTTCCATAATATCTTGGGGGAAGCAGTATGAGGAATGGAGGTTAGAGCTAGAAATTGAAAGTATTAAAAAACTAAGAAAAAATTTCAGTTTATGCACATCAAAGCTTAAGGCATATATATCTGAGTACAAATATAATTCAAGTAGAGCCATCTAGGAATAACTTTTGGGGCATTATAAGTAAAATTAATTAGAGTTTGGATAGACATTACGGTGTACTCAGGCAAATAGTAGCCATCAGGTTCATGCACAGGTTGTTTGATTTTGAGTTATAAATTTCTGGTTTTAAATAAATTTTCATGTTCCATGGAGTGGAGGACTGGAACACCTCCAAGGAAAGAAGAAATACATTAAAAGAAGAAAAAGAAGAGGAAGAAAAAGAAAAAGACAAAAAAGAATAAGTATTTGAAAAATCCAGCTTGAGAGGAAAGAAAGGTTGAGAAAACATTTGAAAGTCAGAGAGAACACAGGGGCTTGTCAGGGCAGCCATGCCCTAGGCTGTGTCCTAGGCAGGCTACTTTATTAGCTGAGGGCTTGAGAGAGGGACCCAGGGGTGGAGGAGCAACATCCTGGGATGTCGGGAGGCTCCAGAGAGTGGCAGTCTCCCTGCACTTGCGGTGAGGGGCAGCCCTGGAGTCCAGAGAATAAAAAAGACCAAGTAATCTGAGTGTTGGATGACGCCCAGAAGCAGCACTCCTTAAAGTTTCAAAGGGACCCAGCGGGATGTAGGATCCTCCATATTCATAGCAGAGTTTATAGTGGTCCATTCCTGGTAAAGACTTTACCATCAAGAGAAAGACTTTACCATCAAGAGAAAGAATAGACTGAAAGGATAATGTAAAAGAAACTGATAATCAACAGCTAACCTCCTTGTCTGGACCATCAGAGCCTTCTTCTCCCACAAGCTAATTCTCTCTGTGCAGTCCCATTCTCACCTCTGTGAATACTTTGCGCAGTGCCCAAAGACTCCTCGTGGAGGCGGCCAGTGGCGTCAGAAACCCAGTCTGCACTCTGCTGCATAGAAGCCATGCGAAGCCATGTGCTGCATAGAAGGTGATGCATTTCTCGTACAAATGTATTATTAAAGCTGGCAGAGGCACCTGTAAGTGGTAGAACTCATGAGGGCAAAAGGAAGTTTATTTCCTAGATATGCACACAAGGGGATAAGGTAACTTCTGAGCCAACACCAAGCCATCTACTACTTAGAAGTGGCTGAGAGTCATGGGCCACAGAGGGCAAGTGATGAGGGATCTCTTTGCAAGATAACTCTTTCTAGGTTTTGGAAGTGGAAGTATACTCATGTAAGAAAGGTTAAGTGGGGCTGAGAAACCAGAAAGAATTCTACTGGGTATGTTTCGAACCAGAGCCTCCCTGGCTTGGAATTTTCAAAATCCCCTCTCCAGAGCTTAAAGACCTCCCTTTTAAGACCCAAAAAAACCTTACCTAAAAGGCCAGGTCCAGTGAAGAAGGCTGAGGTAAAAAGAAAGAAATAAGTGAGATCATGCAGTCAATTTCCAAGACTTTGTTCAAAAACACAACTCTTTAGAAAGCCTTTGCCAAACTTCGTGTGACAATTAGAGCGGTAAATACATAGCTTCCAAAGTCATTCCTACTGGGACCTTATCATATTGGAATGACCAGCCCCGAAGGACGTACACTGGCTAGGAACAACAAAGACCACAGCTAACTGACCCATCATGTTCTGTTTACATCTGATGTTGGCTCTACCCAAGTGTGAATAGATTTGGTTTTCTATTCTCGTCAATTAGATTGATTGATGATTACCACTGAAGTGTGGTGATACAGCCTCTGGGCTCAACAAGAAAATGTGCTGGAGACCACTGACAAGACACACTGGTTGCAGAAGGTAAAGATGTCATGGGGAAAGCACAGAGGACACAGGAAAATCAGCAGGATTTGTCTGTGTTCACTGACACTGCATTTAGACTAGGATCAACCAACATTTCCTGTAAAGGGACAGATGCTTCAGGCTTTCTGGGCCATATTGTCCCTGTTAATAACAACTCAATTCTCTCCATTGTGGTACGAGAGCAGCCATGTATAAGTAAATGAGTGAGCATGGCCATGTTCGAACGAACCTTTTATTTATGGACGATGAAATTTAGATTTCATGTAATCTTTATGTGCCACCAAATATTATTTTTCTCTTGATTTTTTCCCCACC